GGATTTTCTTACTATTCTGCGACGCCTGCGGAATACCTTCATAGCGTCCTTGTACCACTGTTGCCCGCCTTCGGTAGATTCGATGCGCAGTTTTCGTGTCTTGGCATTATACGACCTGGCGTAGCGCCTAGTAACGTCTCTTGCAACTCCATCCCCCTCAAATGCAATAACATAAGTCATAGTGTTCGCATCGTACGAGATTGGAGGTTCTAGTTTGGCAGGCTTTGCTACGGTACCTGTTACAGTAGCATCTACTGGCACCCATTTCTGGTAGGCTTCGTTGAAGACTTCCACCCAGAAGATAGGGTAATCCAATCTGTGGATTTTCGGCTTCTTTGCTAGGAAATGTGAGATGACAAAACAACTCCAGAACTGGCGGCATTACTTACGTGGTGCAGGTGCCGGTTTGACGGTCCCGCCAATGGCTGCCCCAAACTCCGGCTTTAGCAACCTTCGTCTTCGACCAGAAGCAAGAATATTGAGCTTCTTCCCGCTTGGTGTGTCGGACGCCGAGCTCTTTGCGGAGGCATCGTCCGCACTACTGGTACCGGCATATAACGTAGTATTTGTTTCTTGGGGTGGAAGAGGTTTGGCTGTGGTAGCGAAAGGCAATGGCTGTAATGAGCAAACTAGGCGAGCTTCCACGCCAACAGCGCGCATCAAAGCGCAGAACAGTTGGTTACCAACGTCTTGAGAGCCCTGGAGCGATGCAGCGGCTTTGACAAATTCGCGTTTGTCTACAGAGATTTGTTCGTCCTGTATCGCTCTTATTTGCTGTACGGCAAGTCAGCCCTCACATGAATTGGGAGATGAGCTTGTTTGATACACAGCTCAGCTTAGAACCCGTGATTCGAGAGATCTTCTTACCTGTTCAATGCCCGCTTGATCCTCAACCCAACGAGCCCTGTGCATACCAGACGCCGTGACCTTAAATTTCACATGCCATAAATCAACAGCCAGTTTCAGACCATTCAGAAAAGACTCCGAACGTCCGAACTGAATCATGTTTGCATCGGGATGTAACATGGATATTGTTCTTGCAGGCAGGGCCTTTTTAAGTTTTGACTGCACGTTTTCAGCACTACGTCTGCCATCTAAAGGAGCGGTATTCGTACCTCCACCGCAGGTGAATTGCACCAAACATTGCGAACATGACAGCAGAACAATAGGAACAGCACATGCGCCTTATGCGTCGTAAGCTTGACCAGTTTTTCTCCTGCAGTCGCAGGTTTCCGTCTTGTCACTGACTTCTTTGGCGCTTTCCCACTGCCAATCTCAACACTCACGTCTGCAATGTCATCATCAAGCTGTTTGGCAAGACTGGGGTTTGTCGCCGCTTGGTCCAGGTCGACGTCCTCAAACCCAAAATCACTTTCGTCTTCCTCCTCTGAATCCTCGATGGTCTGCTGCTGTGCTAGTGGAACCTCGTCGTCCGTTGTGTTATGCAGAGCAGTAGATGCTCGCGCTGTAGTTGACTGCTTGGGCGCTATCTGCCTGGCTCTCGGTAGGGGCTTTGGTAAAGTTGTTGGATCCTGTTGCTGGCCTGCTACTTTTCGCCTTTTGAACGGCCTGTCTGCATCACGCGCGGATGAAGCCGCTTCAGAAAGCATTTCTTCATAGACATTCCGAGCCCCATCGGGTTTTTGCGCTTTGGCGCGTGTTGGCCGGCTAGTTCCCGCTCGCGAGGTGATAGCGAGCAGTCGATCCTGCGCTCTACTCTTTGAAGTTGCCATGCTACCTTAATGCCCTTCTCTCCTCCAGTATTGAGGATGCGCCACGCATGGCATAGAGTTTCCCGAATGGAGCGAGATGTTGTCAGCTCAGCTTCGCGACTATCACGATCCGGCCGTTCGAGCAACCAGATGTTTGCGCAAAGATGCAGACAGGCAACCAGGTGGTGTGGTATGGACTGATGAAGATGCAGCACGTGCGTATGCAGGTGCGGTGACTTCTTCTAGTTCGACCGATTGACGTGACGCATGCCAAGACCTCGGCTGAAACGCGTCGCGTTGCTGTTCGCGTTCTCGACTCCGTCCAATACTCCTACATATTCTTTCCTGTCTATACCACACCCATACCACTTTCACGGATCTTCCTTTTGGAGTCCAACACCAAAACGGTTTGGTATAGGCACAATGCCCCTTAGGGCATCGTCAGATACCGTCTACCGCTCTACTCCCGCACTCAAGCAAAAGAAATTCCCGGACCGTCAGTGCTCTGTCAGATCGCGTAGCTCACTCCCGCCTAGTACACTGCAAAGGCAATCGACCCTTACCCAGCTGGATACACATTTCTTCGTGCCACCTATAAGTTCCGACGCTATGGATGCCATCGACGATGAGGAGTATATCGACGACAGGCCGAAAAAGAGGAGAAGGACATTGAATAAGCAAAAGTCAGGTAGTGCACAGGACAGACGGAAGCAAGCCACTTTGACACAAATCGACTTCTTACATCCGCTACGGCATATGGGTGACGATGACGACGATTTGCCATCGTACATGGACAAGGCAGCTGAGCATGGAGTCCAGAGAAATAAAGACGCCAGCACTTCTGGCATGGCGTTCTATGAAGGAATATTCGCAGACAAGGTTCGCAAGGCTCAGCGTATCCAGGACGACCGGGAGGATGAAGAGCAGCTCAGGCGGTACGAGAAAGATCAGACCGTCGACCTCCTCAAGACACCACAAGCCCAAAGAATGAGAGAGATACCGTCCTCTCAATCACCTGAGAGCGTCCTGCTCTCGACGCAAAGCAGAAGATCAACCCAATCATCCCAAAGATTCCCACTCAAGGAACGAAGTGTCAACACTCCTATGACTGCAAGATCGGGCAAGCAAACCAGCCCCTTCAAGAAGATCAGTCCGTTCAAACAACTCCTCTCACCCATCAAGCCTATGACGCCTCAGTCAAAGTCCCCAATCAAGCAACCGATGTTTCGAGAACCACCAAGGTCTGGCTTGAAGAGAGTAACAACAATACAAGACTCTGATGACAGCTATATCGGAGAAGAGCCATCTCCACCCAGACTGAAGCGCAAGACTACGATTCCGGACTCGCAATGGGAGACCTGGGATGAGGAGGTTACTTCTGAAACAGAGACTGAACCACTCGATCGCTCAGAAGACGACAATCCCACCGGTTCCGACGTGGAGCACGAGGAAGAAGCAGACGTCGAAGATGATTACGACACCTACGATCCTGTGTATAGCGCATTGGACCGCGATGAAGCTCGGTTCATGCAAACTCAGCGATTACGACTACAGACATTGCGGGAACCGAGTTTTGAATTAGGAGGTTCTCCGCCGCCTCGGGCCACACAAATCTCACAGCTGCCGGACCTGGAGGAAGAGACGTCCGGAGAGCTACAGGGGAGGAGGAGCTTGTGCCCGACAGTCCGCGAAAAGCCCTCGACGAAGACCAAACACAGGCACAATACAACCATGAACTGATGGCAAAGTCCAAGATTCCATCACAACTGGACACGCAAGCCTATTTTCTCAGGGATGACATTGAGGTTGTCGACCTTACCAGCGACGATATTGTGCCATTGAGATCAACCCACAAAGGTGTGGAGTATCTCCCACTCAAACCAGAAGGTCCCATCTCTCGCCAAAAGAAGTCTCCCGGGTCATCGCCGCCTTCCGATCCTGCAGATATCCGCTCTTCCCCTCCTTCAATGGCTATTCCACCCTCTCAGGCTACAACAGTGGATATCACTCAGCTGCCTGCAGGTCATTCGCAATATCGTGTACCCTCTTCACCTCCTGCTTTTATTTCGAACCTTCAGGTGGAGGTGGTATCAAGTTCGTCCCCAGCTCGACCGCCCTGGTCCTCGCCCTCCAAAACAAAGAGGCAAGAGGTTCCCAGCTCGGATTCGATCGACAACGAAGTCGACCTTGGGAACGCCGAGGAAGGCTACAGGGCTGCAAACGAGGTGTTGCCGGATAGTTTGCTTGACTTCAGTCTGCCGCCTCCACCGCCAATGAGCTCTTGGAGGCGTCGTTAATAAATCACGGACCAGGTCTGAGTCGCCTGCTGTTACCCGTATGTAACTTAGTTTCTCACAGTCCCTCGCTAAAATTGAATAGCGTAGCAAAGTAACCTGTCATTGAACCATTAGTATATTGATGAACACGACACGTCATTGCTTTCTGATCCGTGCCATTGCCTCAGTTCTTTGGTTCCGTTGACCGCCTTGCCAAATTCAGGCTAGGGTTTCGGGCCGGCTGAGCAGCTGCACTCGCGGTTGGACCACGTTCTACAGCAGCGGACCTGCCGCGAAGATCGCTGGGTAGATGTCTGTGAGTGAACATGATTCTCAACACTGACTGAACTTGTACAATCGCGGGTGAATCGCCATGTCAGAAAGAGCAAGTTCGCCATGAGCACATCCAACCACAGGCAGCTGAGGACACAACCAGAGGTTCGACAGCACGTGCGACACGCAACAACTATAGTAGCACTCCTGCGAAACATCTTTGAATTATCTTGGAAGGCATCACGTTGCTTGAACCTTTTTCGCTCCAGACCGCTACTCTTCGAGCTCAAAGTTTGCCTCCACGAGAACGAGAATAGAGCGATCCATGTTCCCGATGGCTCAATGCACCAAAGGCCAACAGACGCCGCGTCTCATTCCCCTTCAAGAAGAGTGGAAAGTTTGATTCGCATCATTCGCATTATTCGCACATGGCGCAAACAGCCAAAGCGGCCAATTCGGATCATCCCTCGAAACGCGATGCAAGCATCTCCTCACGCCGTTCCTCTTCTCAAACAGGTCATCGCAGGTGCCATAGCCGGAATAACCGTCCCGTACAGCGGGAGAGGGAGCCATTCTGAACAAAGGTCAAGATTTCTTCAAACGCAGGCTTTGGCACGTTCGACCATAGGCGGCTGAGAATTGGGCATCCCGTCCGCTCTGCCATACACAAGCAGTCGACCGACGAGCTAGTACTACAATCGGTGACGGTGTGGGAATCCTCGTTGTCGAACGTACTCGAGCATCAGTGGTTTAGTGGTAAAATCCATCGTTGCCAATTGGGATAACCCGATATCGATGGGCCCCGCGTTCGATTCGCGGCTGATGCATATCTTTTGGCTGTTGACGTGTTGTTTTTTGACGAGGGAACGGTAGGAGCGTGGGCGCGGACGGTGGTAGGTTGCGAAAATTCGGTATCTGGCGGCAAAAACGTTCACTTTTTCGCCGGCACAGCACGCCCTAGCAAAAACGAAGGGTCCACAATGCGCGCTAACGAGTCAATCGAACTTCAGGCTTCTATTATAGAACTATTCGGTTGATCTGTTTCCTGCCTTGAGACTGCGTGGTAGCAGTTCTTCATACTGTATCTCCAAGTAAGATTCCATTCCTCCTTAGTGAACATGTTGCGTTATCCAGATGTCATTGTCAGCACTTGGGAAACTTGAAAGTCTAGTTACTATCTTATAGGATTCCACACACGTTATTCAAATCAGTCGTGTCCACACAATGTTATACTCTATTCTTGATCTCTGTTTTGTAGGTTGGACCGCCCGTGTCGTGCTCGTGCTCGAATACTACAAAATCCTGTACCACGCATCCTACTTCCACGCCTACACACCCAAAGGCCGGCAAAAAATGTTTTCTTCCACTTTCTATTTGACCTTTCTGTTCGCCCTCCTACCTCCCCAGTCCTTCTTACATCCGCTCCCCTTTCCTTGAAGCCCTTTCCTGATTTCCCCGGAAGAGGTCACACAATATTCCGCCACGGGCAAAGTGCCCGCTTTGGTAGTTCCCAACCTTACCATCTTCATGCACGATCACAGACTCCCTTGCGATCCTTGAACTGCTCGCCGATTCGCACCAGGAGCTGCCGCCCTGGCCGCGCGACCCAGTCGCACGCGCGTGCTTGCTCGCAGTGCCGCTGCTGGAACGCATTCTGCATTTACTGCTATACGCAACGAATTCGATTCATACTTCGTAGCGATGTAAACGGGCAACGTTCTCATCAGCGAACAGGTGTCGAAGGAGATTATGAGGTTGCAAGAGCTGTGGAACGAATGCCGAAGGAGCACGAAATCGAGGTTGGCAGAATTGGGGGAAGGACGGGCTGAGGGATGGCTGTTCCGGGGAGTTGGGGACTGCGGACGTGTTCTTCTAACCGGTATTGTGGGTGAGTATCTCTCTTTTATCCTTCTTTCTCCGCCTTTACGCCGGAACAAGGGCAGTGATGGAAGGAGACCAAGGTGGTTCGCCGTCATGCCAGGTAGAAAAGCTGATAAGACATCTGCAGCATGTGGCAAAAATCCCTTGGGAGCCAAACTCGCTCATTCGCTGGGTTGATTGTGTTCACCAAGCTCTATTGTAGGGCCGCTTCGCATCTTGTCCTGACCTGAACATTCAGGCGCCGATGCGTCTGCACGTGGGTTTGTTAGTTCGGGTTGTTGGATGTATATAGAGGGTGCTTTGTGCTATCTTGCCGAGACAGTTGAGAACGTGCAGCAATATTCTGTTGGCGTTTGTAAAATTCATACTGGTGACTTTTCGGACAACGATTCCGATCGCATGCGATGGTTTGACTTGGTTGCTGACGACTGCACTATTCTGTCGGCCGCGCTCGGTCGGGGATTGTTGATGGGAGTCGGAAGTACGAAATGATTACGTGAAGCTGTGTGAATCGGTGAGTGGCGTCGCAGTAGCTGTGTATAACTTCGTGTCTCGAGCCGCCTATTCGTCTGCATCCTCCGCCTTCGTCTCCGATCCAGCAGCCTTCTTGTCTAAATTCTTCCGCTCAGCATACCTCGCATTGATGACCTCCACTGTCTCCATTCGATCCTTCTGCATGACCGGAATATACTTCCCAACCATCCTGGGCATATGCCCACCATCAAAAACCCTCGCACTTCTCTGCTCCAGTGGCAGCGCCGAACCCGGGATCGATCTCGTCCTCCCCTGCTTCGCAACAATGTCCAGCAAGCTGCCCGCCAACACCTCGTCAATCTTCCGCTTATGCCAGACCTCCCAAAGCGCGTCCATGATGCCACCACGACCGAACTTGCCGTCTCCGCCATCGAGTTCGGGTTTCTTGTTTGTCTCTCGCCCGCCATCGTCACCCACGTAAATCCACTCCAGCGCGTCGGGCCGGCTTGTCGTGTTCTCGCTTATGTCAGCAGGGAAGATGCAATCCCAGAGCACGAGCGGTGCGTCGGTCGCCATTTCGTACTTTGGGCGGGTGGGGTTCTTGGTGATGTCGAGGAGGTCCGAGACGATGGATGGCGGTTCCAAGCCCTGGCCGACGAGGAAGAGAACTGCGACCAGGTTGCGGACTTGGTGCCAGAGGAAGGCGGAGCCGTGCACGTCGAAGGTGTACATGACGGGTGGACCGTCGCGCGAGCCGTGTTGGGCGCCATTTGTGATGGCTTGTTCATCGCGGTTACGACCGAACTCCGGTTGCCCGACGTATCCCACCGGTCCGTCACGAGGGTCGACTCGCTGTATGCTCGCGTGGAAAATGCGTCTTTCGAAGTTCGTGATCTGCTTTGAGGGATCGATCTTACAGAGGTTCCGGAAATCATGCAGGCCCTCGTACCTCTTCGCCGCGTCCTGCATCGCTTCGATATCCAGCCATCCTTCCCTTAACGGCTTTCCATCGACCGTGATCTGTAGGCCTCTGTCCCCAGGCACAGGCGCGAACGCTGGCTGCGTGAAGAAGTACCTGTAGCGGCGCTCTCTGCAGCTGAAACGAGCGGAAAAATCTGGAGGCGGAGATGGGCACCAGGCCAACATACGTATATCTTCAGGCAAAACGCGGTTCAAAAGCTGTATGTATGGCAGTTCATCCTTGATGTGATCGAAAGGTGGCTTCGTTAGTAGTTCATCAGTCTCCTCTTGAGTGTTGTCCTGCGCGAGCTCGACATCCTCCCCTTGCACACCTCCACGCTCCGGTGATTTTGACATTTCCCGTTTCGCAAGCGGTCTGTTACTCCGTACCCTTATCCCAATGACCTGCCCAAATGCGCTGACACCCCTGTCCGTCCTTCCGCACTTCGAGTAATCGCATCCTTCCCAGTCTATCTCGCCTTCCTTCAACTCGTTCATGCGCGTAGGAAAGATCAACCTCGTCTTCATCAATGCTTTCCATAACTCTTCCTCGATCGTCGGCAGGGGAGTTGTGTTATTGGCGTGGTGTTCGAAGCCATTATACCGCTGTCCAAGATATGCGAATTTGAGCGCGATCAAACGAGTCGAGTATCTGCTCGGGTCGAAGGCCTTTGGAGGCTTGCTCTTCGTTTTCTTCGGAGGAGGTAGCGGGGATGGAGAGCGGGATTTGAAGCTGTAGAATGGATCAGAGAAGCGTACACAGGCTTGACGATGGATTGTATAGCCCACTTTGCGTTCTGACGTTTCAACTGCGCTTCTAGTTCAGTAACGCGCCGGATCAGTTGCTCGTTGCTCCAAGCGGAATAATCTTTGTCAGGCTCCATGGCGTGCCTGAGGTTCTTATGTACAGCGATACAGTTGAGAGACCTTGAACCGGTATAGAGTGGGACGATCCTGTTACTCTCCACCAGAGCACGTCGCAGACGGGAAGAGTTCAGCACCTTCATCCAGGCTCCAGCACACAATACAGATATCTTTTGGTGATTCATGCATGCAGGTCCCGGATGGATGTTCAAGGGAAGGTTAGCCGAGTGCAGAGCCAAACCTTCCAAAATTCGTGGCTCACCTTACCCTGATAGGAAGCCAAGCATTGCTCGATTCAGACGGCTTAGGTATTGGCTGTATATACATGGTATTGGGTATATAAACACATGAACGCACATTCTCAACTCCCACAGCCATTGCTATCAACTTCCAGTCTCCTGATTGAGTGACGGCAGTAGCAAGTGGTGGTACCTTGGAGAGGGCATCATGCTCCTTTGTTCCCTGAACCGTGCCGTCATGCATGGCTCTGAACAGACCATGGCACAGTATGGGATGGCGGCAGATAGGTAGGTGTCTGCTTTGGAGGCCCTCAAGTTGTCTTGGAACCAACACTGCCTTATTGCACAAATGCACGTATCCAGTTACGTTGACGCGCTCAACGCGAGGCAGGGAGAGTGACCAATCGGCAGCAGTACATGTCGTACATGGCATGCGCATGTGACCTTACAATCCTGCTGCCTACTTCCCTAAATGGTCGAACAAACACTTCGTTTTCCCTCGTATATTCCGTCCAGATCAATCACCGCCAAACATACTCATCGTCTCCATCTTGTTCCAGCTTCTCACTTCAATACACCCACATTCAACTGATCTCTGTGCGACAGGACCTGCAATGGCACCCGAACCAACCGGTCCCCCTCGGCGACCGAGCAGAGCGTCCAAGAGGGCCAATACTCACGAATCCTATACTATGGCTGCGCTTGCGCAGGGTATCCCATTCTAGACCGGATCACAGGCGCATGGAAGGCACGCGGCCGTCCTTTGCAAGAGGGCTTGGAAGAAGGCTTGACCGTTCAGAATATCACCGATCTCGCCAACACTGGCTCATTCAACACCCGAGGCAGCTGGAAGCTCTCACTTCTCTTCAAGGACGCGCATCCCGTTGGTACGCACCGGCGCTGCGAACACGACCAGGTCTGGCAAGAGATCTATCCAGGCCCTTATAGGTGCCATGTTCCCGAAGCGATCTGGCCAGTTGAGTCGGCTATAGAGCGGCTCGACAGCATGGAGTCAGCGGCAACAACAAGAATAGACTCTAAGGCAAAGACCGTCACGATCCAGCAGCCTGACCTTACCGTCATATTCCACGCCGCCAACGCCTCCATCGGGGAACACACGGCTCGAATTGCCCTCTCAAACACCCTCAGTGAACTGGGTATCCCTGTCCTCGACATCGTTGCGCCGTCACCAACTGAGCACTCTAGCGCCCCGCATGAGTACACCTTTGGACGTTACATCGGTCTGGAGCAGTTCATGTCAATGACCCCAGCGGAGATGCATCTGTACCTTGTCGGCATCATCGGACCATACGCAGCCAAAGCTCGCAGAGCGGCCTATGCATGCCGCAATCAGTCCGAGACGTACCAGGGGCCTTGGTGGAGTCAGGATGGCAACCAGACTGCGGAGG